CGAACCCTTTTGTTCTTGTGGTCAAACCTGACGATCACGTACTCGATCTCATCGCCCCATTTGAAGCACCGGTCGATTCGGTGTTTATTGTGGTTATAGATGTGAATGAATTGTTTGATTCCGTGTCGGCGCACGTGTTCCGCATATTTCTTGGTCTCCGAGTGATTCAGTGGTTCACCATTTGATAACAAGCCCATTGTTTTGGCAGAATATAAACTTTTTAAACACTTTTGATTTAATTTTTTGCAATAACTTGTGATTAAATACAAACAGAACTTTTTATGCTATATTTATAGCAAATATGATGTGAATTAGCTATTGATAAGAATATATATTGAGAAACTTAAGTCATTTCCTTGTTTATTGATAATAACTTATAAATAGATATATTAATTTAACATATCTATCGGGCCTCACAATCATATGACTAACATATTAAGATTTAATTAAATATTGTATGGATTTTTAAAAATATTTTGTATTTAAATTGAAAATATAATTAATTAAATGAAATAAGAAATTTATATGGTACTCTTGGTTGCTATTTAATAAGTTTAGAAAATTGGTTAATACGATATAGTTGTAAAATGCACTTAATTAGTCCTTATATTTGAGTTTGCAATTGATTGATAAGTTGTGCTTAAAGTTTAGATATTATTATTAAATCAATATTGAGTTATATGTAAAATTAAAAGAAATATACTGGATAAGACATCACTTAATTTTATTTTATAAGTTATAACTAATTGTATGGCTGATATCATAATATTAATATATATAAATTATGCAACTTAGCACTGATTCTAGTTGTAAAAGTACTCAATCATAAAAGTAATAATACAGTACAGTAATTAAGTACAGTATAACCCTATAGTGCAATAGAACTATAGAATTGCAACTTTCAATTGACCATGTAAATTTACTGTAATTGGTTATCGCGAGTACATTAGAGAGGTTAAATAATTTGAAATTAATTAATTCTTAGAAATTGTATAATGAGATTTTAATTACCAAAGGGTTTGTTATTAAATAGCATATAATACTTATGTGTGATATAAAAATATACAACTACATGACTGTAACTTTAAAAATGAGATTTGTATAATCATTAAATTAAACCAGGCATATTCAGTAGAGGTTGATGTTATGCATACCAGGTTTTAGAATCTAAAAGTTAGATTGATTTACAAATTATAAAAATATTCTCGATTAATTAGCAATATTGTTTTAATGTTAATAATTTATTCTTATATTGTCTGGTTTTGTGAGTAAATAATTGATTTGTTATAAAAGAAATTTTATATTTACTCTAACAATAATTAAGAATTAAATTTGTCGATTCCTCCCGTGACATCCCGGTGCCAATGCAGTCAATTCAATGCCCCTTAAATCATTGTACTAAGTCTGTAAGTTACATTAAATATTTCGTCAGTTTATGATTAGATATATTTGTGACCAAACAAGTCTTTTCGACTTTTTAAATTCATAAATATTAAATCATATGTTTAAATATTTGTAAATAAAGAATTAAGGTTATAATAATAATTCGTAATTAACTATGAAATAAAGATTTTAAATGACACCTTTTATAATTTTAATTCAATTATTCTTGTTAAAACCCTGTCTATCGATCATATATTATATTAGTATAGAATTTATACTATAGATTAAACAAACTAAAAGACATACTGTATTTATAATCAATAAATGCTAATTTATATCAGATGCCCTCAATTTTATCATTTATATAATTATTTTTGATACTTTTACAAGAAAATTATGTAATTAAATGGTTTTATTAGATAATAAAAATTAAATTTAAATGATTTTTTAATTTCTCTTATATTAGATATTTTATTTGTAATCTCCGACCAATTCTTTGATAATTAAATCTTCATTTTGAATGCGATTTAAAGTGAAGAGTAAGTCATAAGTGATGGTATCGTTGACCACAGAATCGTATTTATAGTCATTATGTTTGCGAACGAAATGTCGGATCCATTGGGCGTTTGTCTGGAGTTTAGCCGACGCTCTGTCGGCAATCAATTGGATATACTGTTGGACTTTACAGGAAGTGTAGGCGTCCAGTGATATACTCCTCACGTACTCTTTCATGATTGGTATTAATCCCGGAAATTCCTGTCCGTAACCATTGATTATCTCATTGATAGTCATCTGAATATATGATTCCTCTTCAGAGTCATGTGTCTCGCAAAAAGGGTTTGAATTGTTATTGAGTTCTTGTGATTCATTTGAGCTGAAGATGTCTTTTCTGAACCAGAATTTAGATCTATTGATGGCATCCCTCTTCTGCGCTTCACTCATGTTTTCGTCGACCTGTTTATCATAAAATTTAATCAAATTATTAATTATTATACAATTCATACAAATGCCTTACTTTAGAGATAGGAATAATGAAATTGAGTTTATATTTCAGTATAATTCGTGACAAAAGTACGACAAACACAGCATAAGCCGCGTTCTCGAAGTCAGTCATCTGGAGGTCCATCGGACGGAACTCCACTCTCCAGCCAATGGACGGTTGGTTAGTCGGCGGCGGTTTAAACCTCATTGTCTGCCAATTGGTTGACTGTAATGTCTCAAAATGACCGGAATCTGTCTCATCATTTTGATCCAAAGTGTCGCGATATATAACCATTGGGTCTCTAATGAATAGGTATGCGATGTGTTGGGCCACAAGTGGTGGGATTCCGGCGTTAATCATCTCATCGTAATATTCTTTGTTATACACAATAGGATTGTCATTATATTTAGCATTAGATTCACACAAATATGTGTTAATGGAAGCAAAACGTGGTTTAAATATTCTGTATTTATTGTGTTTCAGTGGCTTTTCTCCCGACTCTTCAGCCGTCCGGTCATCACAACTACTTGAGAGCACATCCCAACGACCATCTCTGTCAGTGAGATAACCCCTGAATATAGGTGTCGATGCACTTAATGCCATCATAATGGGAGCTAACGGTGCCAACTGATCATTCAATACTAGAGCCTCATCTACATTGAAGGCCTGAAGGGTGACCTGTTATATAAAAAGCATTATAATGAATAAAATATTATATATACAGTATATAATTAATGAATTAATTATAATTAGCGCACCTGTAGGCAACAACATGCTGCGCCAAAAACATTGGAGTCCATATAGATGTGGTCCACTTTAGCCGCTCTCTGCGATTGTTGATCATTGAATATTTGAACAAAAGGATCCGGAGTATGTGTGTCCTTAAAAATAGGGGCATTAATCGCTATTCTATGGCCCGTCCGTTCTGACCAGTATTGCTCTATTCTCATCCATTTATTATAAAGCGGACAAATGACTTCATCGCTAATAAATAGACTTCCGGAAAGGCTATACTGAGGACCAGGCTTAGTAAAGGGTACAGTTGTGTCATTACATCCAAACCTAGATAATCAATTTTTTAATTTTTTTAATTTAATAAATGTGTAACAAATGACTGTACAAACCTAGGGAAGTTAGTGAAACATAGAAGTGCCTCATTTTCTTCGAGCAGACTATCGATATCCCGACGCCTTTCCCTCATATTGTTCTCCACGTTATTAAACCAGTTATTCGCTGACTGTTTGTCGTTGTTTTCATTATTATAGCCGAATGGTTGTCCGGGTGTCCCTTCGATCTGATAGGCGGCACATTCTGGTCTCCACAGCACCTGTCGATTCACTCCTTCCTTCTCTTCTCTCTCATCCATTACTTTGAGAATATCTTTGGCGCGAAGACTCAGACGAACCCTTTTGCTCTTGTGGTCAAACCTGACGATCACGTACTCGATCTCATCGCCCCATTTGAAGCACCGGTCGATTCTGTCTTTGTTTTTGTTATAGATGTGAATGAATTGTTTGATTCCGTGTCTCCGCACGTGTTCCGCATATTTCTGTGA